TCGCCAGGTTTTAGATGCAACAAGTTCAGCAGCCCTTCATTATGGTGACTTGGTGCACCAGAAACTTGCTGACCAAGGATATTATGATCAACCAGGACCTTATAAGACGACTGATGAAATGTGTGTTACTGTCAACGATTTGGAGTATGTTAGAAGATCTTTGGCTGAACTGAGACCTGACCAAGGGGTAAGTAGACACATGAAACAATATTTGGACATTGGATATTAATATTTTGTTGTTTTTTAGGATCATCCTGGTTTGCCAATGATCGAATCAAGTTTGACACAACTAGAACAGTGTGCACTGCGCGTTTTGGGCAGAATCGGTCCACAAATGCAAAACGCTTTACAAAAAGTCATGTTTCACTTGGCATGGTCACCAGAATCCTTACCAACGACCCAGGTAAGATAAATAATACATGCACAATGAACTGTTTTCTAAATATCTATTTTTTAGGCAATAGTACCCTTGTTGGAGTACCTAGACAACCACCTATCAGCTCTAAATGCTGCTTTGTTGGCTCGAAATTTTTCCAGGGCTTTGTCCATTGTTTGGTCAGCAGTTTTGGCAGGTCTTTCTGGGCAAACTGATGTCGGAGGAGGAGATGGTGAACGTCCTGCAGTATACCACGACAGACTGCACGATGCCCTTAACCTTCTTGCAGAATTCTTTCACGCGGGGGGACAAGGTGACCCTTACATAATAGTATTTGCCAGCGATTTTGCAAGCAAATTGTAATTCATCACCCAAACCAAATTTTTTAGGTCTATGTGATGAAGACCTCAAAACAGAAGTCTATCGTCGTGTCGAACAACGTCTATGTTACCATCGTACAGATACAGAAGGCCTGATAGACCTTTTCCATTGCAACAGACTGGCTGACCAGATGGCTGCCATAGCTCAAGGAGCACAATGTGCAGTCCCTTATGGGGTACTTGGTGTCAGGGCTTATTTTAACCACGATTCATTGTGTGTAGAAGTCCTTCATGCCAGGGATGTGATTCCTTTAGACCCTAATGGATATAGTGATCCTTTTGTGATCATTGAATTGTTACCAAGAAGGGTAAGTGTAATAACTACCAAGTTGCCGTGCGATCAGGCGTATTTTACATAAAAACAAGTCAGGGGGCATGTTCGATTAGCAGAATCAAATAATGTATTTATTTTACCTGTGGTTTATTTTTAGCAAAAATTGATGATGATGTCTTTTTTAGGTTTTTGCCCATTGTGGCGAGCAACACACAAACGTTCACAAGAAGACTCTGAATCCGATTTTTGACGAATGTTTTGAGTTTTCAGTAACTTTGGACCAGTGCAGGTCAGAAGGTGCTATGGTTGCATTTACGGTGATGGATCATGATGTTTTGACTGCCAATGATTTTGCTGGAGAGGTAAAATAGTAGCAATAATATTTTTTTAGTTCACCAAGATGATGATTTTTTTGTTTGTTTTAATTGTCTGGTTGGAAAATGGTTTTGTCTGAAAAATGAGACAATCTTTGCATAAATTTTATTTCGTCAGGAAATTTTCTGGTTACAAATTCATCAAGCAATCGAATAACAAATTATCAAAAAACTTAACAATTTTGTACCTTCTTGAATTTGTAAGATCATATTTTTTAGTCCTTTAACCAACCTAATTAAATTGGAGGAAAATCATTTTCGGATAAACCAAAAAAGCCCAAGATTGTTCACAAAATTCAAAAACCAACTTTTAGATGATTTTTACTATCATCCTCATTTTTTATAAATAAATTTGCAAATTGGTGACCTCGACATGATCCAGGAAATTGTACAATGCTAAAGAACTAGGTCACTATCAAAATTTCCAAATTTTGTCAGAAATCTCTTCTTTGTTATCAGATTTTAGATGGTTTTGACTATTATCCTCATTTTTTATGAATAAATCTGCAAATTAGTGACCCCGACATGATCTAGAAAATTGTACAGTGCTAAAGAACAGGGTCACTACAGATTTACTATTATCAACATTTCCAAATTTTGTCAGAAATCTCTTCTTTGTTATCAGAATTTAGATGGTTTTAACTATTATTCTCATTTTTTTATAAATAAATCTGCAAACTGGTGACCCCAACATGATCTAGACAGTTATACAATGCTGAAGAACAGGGTCACTACAAATTTACCATTATCATTATTCCCAAATTTTGTTAGAAGTCTCTTCTTTGTTATTAGATTTTAGATGGTTTTAACTATTATCCTCATTTTTTATGAATAAATCTGCAAATTGGTGACCCCGACATGATCATGATCTAGAAAATTGTACAATGCTATAGAACTAGGTCACTACAAATTTATCATTATCATTTCCAAATTTTGTCAGAAATCTCTTCTTTGTTATCAGATTTTAGATAGTTTTAACTATTATCCTAATTTTTTATGAATAAATGTGCAATCTGGTGACCCCGACATGATCTAGAAAGTAGTATAATAATAAAGAACAGAGTTAATAAGTCAATATAGATTTACCATCATCACCACTTCTCAATTTAGTTAGAAAAATCTCGTTTTCATCAACTTTTAGATGGATTTACCATCATTCTTACAAATTGGTGACTCTGACGTGATCTAGAAAGTTGTACAATATTAAAAAACATAGTCAATACAAATTTTTAATTTAATTACAATTTTTTTTTTCAGGCTTTTTTGGCCCTTGGCAACATTCCAGGAGTAGCTGATGGAAGTTCCAGTGTGGAAAACTTTCATGGTCTAAAACACGTTGATCTTCCTTTGATGCACCAACACGATAAACGTAATAAACCATATTTTATCCAAATTTCTAACTATTTATTTATTATATTTTATATTTTTAGAAAATCCAATTTTACAAATTTTGGAGTCCAGAACAGGTGACCGAATGGCCATAGAATTTGTGAAGAAACAAAAACTTAGGTTCTCATCAGCGTAATTAGATGTAGAACATTTTGAACCAACTGCCAACTTTTGAAGTATGTATATATGTATTTAATTAATTAAATAATCTTAATTGGATTTTTCAAAAACATGTACATTGACTTGGTGAGTAGAAGTATTTTAAATATGCTATATCCTTAAACCTGGGACCAGTTTTGTCTGTTTATTTGTGAAAATGTCTAAGAAATTGCTGTGCGATTAGGCGTATTTTACATATAAACAAAGCAAGGAAGATAAATCATCACAGATTTTGTTATCATGAACATGCCGCCATACTTGTTTTTTTGTAAAATACGCCTGACCGCACCGCAAATACTTAGACATTTTCACCTCTTCACAGTAAATAAATACAACAATTAATTCCCACGTTTTTTTAACCAATTTAGTTCCCCAAATTTTATTTAATTTATTAATAATTAATATTTTGATATTTATTTTTATTTATCATAAGTCCTAAAAATATTTTTACACCGGTTTCATAACTGTAACTCCATTGTAACCTAAATGTATCTATTTCTCTTGACAATCAATGGTTTATGTAATATTTGTGTACATGTAATATTTATATAGGTATAGGTATAAAAAATATACAGGTTAAATATATAATTTATATATATATTATATATATGTATATATATATATGTGTATATATATATATAAATTATAATAATTATTATAAAACTGCTGTCGCCTAGCTTCTGAAAAAAACTATGCTGTCAATTATATTTAATCTAAACTTTATATCTATCATAAATTTTGTACAGTTTAAAGAATTTTAAATGTTTACAATGTGTATATATATAAAATTATATGATATGAATATATAGACTTGGAAATTAGAAACTTCAAAAGTATAAATGAATATTAACAAAGACTCAATTGAGTACATTTAATGTACATCATATTTTCAATTTTTTTCTCAAATCAAATTAAAGATTTTTTTAAAAAAGATTTTTCAATAAATTATTTAGTTGTTCATAAAACACAAAGCCAATCTAAAAATTAAATTTAAAGAAATAAAAACGTTCTAATTCCAAGCAAATTCTAACGGAAAACTAAAAAGAAAATAATTTTTATCCAATGCTGCATTTATTTTCCAAAACAAAAACGTTAGTTGCATTTATTTTTTATTTAAAGAAATAAAACCGTTAGTTTAAATGTAGCAGTTTCTTGAAAACACGTTTGTTTGGCTTTGATTTCATAACTAGGCTTTAAAATTATTTTTAATTCGCAAAAATCTACATTTCTAACAGCAAAAAATACTTACATAATTTGAAACGTTCTAATTTAAAATTGAAAATTATTAAAAAATTATATAAACTAAAGACAGTAATTTGATACAATGTTACATTTTATTATCAAAACGTAATTAAAAGGTATTTTAAACGTAACAATGTTCAAACAACGTATTTGTTTCGTTATTGTTTCACAACTGGGATTTACACATTATTTTGTTTTTTACTGTAATCTACAAAAATGTACGTTTTTTCTAACTAAGAGAAAAAATACTTACATAATTTGAATCTAATATGAGCTAAAGACATTAATTTCATACAATGTTATATTTTATTACCAGAACGTAACAAGAATATTGTTTAAAAGTAACAATATCTTAAAAACATGTTTGTTTTGTTTGATTCATAACTTTTTACAGATTGCTTTATTATTTTCTAATAATTCGATTTTACATATTTTTTGGTATTATTAAATATATGTTTATTATTCTATCAGAAAATTATTTATTTAGTCAATTTTAAACAATCTAAACAATTTGAACACGTAAAATAATAAATTAATTAATTTCATGCGATGTTAAATGTTATCACCTAAACGTAACAATAACGTTGTTTAAACGTAACAAAATATTAAAAAAACCTATTTGTTTTATTATTTTTCACAACTGGGACTGACACGTCATTTTGTTTTTACTATTTTTGAAAAAAATATACTTTTTTTTAAATAATCTTATAATTAAACTTTTGAACTTTAAATTGAAAATACGGGAAGTTAATTATGGAGAAGTTAATATGAATTGAAGAAAATTAATCTTAAATTATTTTAACCGTAATTTATACGTATTTTTTTTAAAAAAAAATCGTGTTTGTTTCATTCTTGTCTAATAATTCGAGTTTACACATACTTTTGTCTTAATTTATTATAGTTTTATTTTACAAAAATATTCTTGTTTATGATTCTATCAGAAAAAAATCTATTAAGGCAATTTGAAAAATCTAAACAAATTGAAAGCTTAAAATAATAAGAAAATTAAGTTAATACGATATTACTTTTTATCACTTAACCGTAAAACGTTGTTTAAACGTAACAATACTTTCAAAACGTATTTGTTTTTGTTTCAACATTATTAAGATTTTGTACAATAAGGCTAAGGATTACTTTTAATCATAACAAAATATTTTTAAATCTGAGACTCCTTAAATTTTCCAACAGGCTCAATAAGTTTTTCAATAATTTAGTAAAAAAAATTGACATAACTATTACATAACATATGTAAGTTTTTTGTATCTTTTTATTTACAATCTGCACAAAAAATCTATCAAATATCTATCTATATATCAAAACGTGGATCGTCAATATACCTAAAAGGACCAAACTATACATTTCACTAATTATAGTAAATTTAAAAAATTATTTACTGACTTTTATAAGTACAGGATGAAAAATTTCGAAACAAAAATATATATGTAAAATATTATTTATACAAAATGTATATTGATTGATTGTGCTTATATAATGATAAAAATAAATAATATGTGTAATTACTGAATTTATAAATGTAAGATGTACAAATATTTTTGTGAATATTTGAGTGTTGGGTGTTATAATAAATATTATTCGAATTTCAATTGGATTTTTGAATTAATTGAGACAAATTTTATTTTATTATTCAAATGCCATGTTACTTACACTTACATATATGTAATTGTAAATTTTAGTTTAATGTTTCTATTAATTATTACTTGGACTATGTCATTATTTCGTCTACGTTTTTGGGCGCACGGATCAACCGATTTGAATGGTTTAAAAAACATTCGATTCCTATTAATAGGGAGATGTGCTGATTAGTTTTTGGCGAAGGCAGGTCCAGCCGTTACGGAGATATGGAGCAAAGAGTGCAGAAAATACTAGTCGAGTTTTTGAGCGAACGGATCATCTGATTTGCATGATGCAAAAAACATTCAGTTCGTAAGACGGGAAAAAAGTGGTTATTAGTTTTAGGCAAAGGTAGGCCCAGCGGTTTCGGAGATACAGAGCTAAATGTTAAAAAAATTGCAGTTTTTGAGAACTAAGCGTCCCATTCAAATGATTCAAAGAACTTTCTGCTTGTTTCAACAAAATAATTGCTTTTGGAAAAAAAAATTGTTTCAAATTTTTTTTACAAAAAAATATTTTTGTAATTTTAGATTAAAAATGCAAAAATTACCCAAGCTAAGCACAGTCTAAGCACCACTCTGGTACAAATTTTTACCCAAGTGCGTTTAGACTGTTTCTGTACAGGAGCGATTTTCCAATTTTGTGAAAACTATTGAAAAATGTGAAAATGCCGCCAAGCTAAGCACAGTATAAGTGAAAATGTCGCACAGAATTATTTGCAAAGGCGTTTAGACTGTGACTATACGGGAGCACTTTTTCAATTTTGTGTAAATTAGCCAACTATTTTTTTTAAATTGAATTCGAAATGAAATGACGATTGTTAATGTAATAATTGATTTATGATTTACATTTGATTTGCTCAGACATAACAAGATGATGCAAAAATAATGAACGTTACAGTATTTGTAATAATTCATTTGAAAACGTCTAAAATTTGCCTTAAGGCACGATGCCATACACCACTAGTTGTTTTGGTAATAGTGTTAGGTTTGGCAAGTATATTTTTGTTAGTAGTTAGTTTTATAGGATCTTATCATACTACATCCTAATTTAGTCAACTTTGTATATTTTAATCTTATTAACTTCCCGTATTGTTTATATATCTTTACGTTTTAAAACCTTCTGAACATTTTGGCATACCTTAGAAAAAATGGATGCATGTGTGTGTGTGTGTGCGTTTGTGTTTTTCAAAAAAAAAGGAAATTTTTATCACAAATTTATAGTTTCTCAAAAATCTAATTTTTTCAGTGTAATTTTTTTCAAAAATGTTAATTTGAAAAAAAATGTTTGGTACGGAAGTTCCAGCGGTTTCCCTTAATGCACGATGCCATACACCACTAGTTTTAAAATTTTTGAATCCTGTTTGATTCCTATTAAATTGTGTCGCCATCCTTCGGGAATTTTGCAGAACAATTTAAACCACGTGCTTCTCATTGTTTGCCAGAAAGTACATAACCTCAAGTACTTAGTACCGGTATTACCTTCGTTGTGTAAAAGTGTGTTTTTCATCTGTAATTTGGCCAAAATCGTAAGTAGAAAAATATATTTTTAATATTATAATACTTACATATAACTTTGTAATATATATTATACATATTAGTATTCATAAATAATGTGTATTCGTTACAAATTTGTATGCAAAGTCTTGGGGAATTTTCTATAGGTTTTGTGTAAGTGTAGTGCATGTAGGATGCATGTTTTGGGGACATATTGAAATGTCCTTGAAATTTCGTTGCAATAATAAATACGTAATATTTAGTATAATACTTAGTTATAATGTAATATATAATAAACATCTTAGTATGCATAAATAACGAGTTTTCGTTACAAATTTCTATGCAAAGTCTTATTTAACTTGGCGAATTTTCTAAGGTTTTACGTAGTACTGAAGAGGCATGTTTTTGTTCATTATTTTTGGGAATATAAAAGGTCCTTGTAAATTTTTAGAAGGTCGTTCGAATAAGAAACATCGTATCAGAAAATGATTACACAATTCATATTACGATTTTGTGTAAGTGGTATTTTGCCTGAAGTCGTACAAATTTCCGGATCCGGCCTAATCGGCTAGTAAACAATCGGCCTAATCAATTTGAGTTGATAATTAAATATTTAGAAAACATTTTCAACTTTCTATTT